AACATTAGTAACAAAGAAACAGAATTTCCGGAGGATGAGGCCCAGAAATCAGGATTTTAAAAAGATTCCCAGGTGACTCTACTGTGCAGCCAAGGTTGAGAACCACTGCTAAGGAGGGTTGAAGTTTTTGAGCGGTCGCTGCAGAAAGAGCCCAGCGAAGGTGTGGGTGGGGAGGGCGCTGAGGGGTGGCGTCTGCGGCGGGAAGAGGGGGCAGAGCGAGGAGGGGGGACAGTAGGCTTAGAAATGGAAGTGAGACCCATGCAAAGGTAAGATAGGATGAGCTAATGCGATGAGAAGCCGGGAGCAGAAGAGGAAGAAATGGCTGCACCTTCCCACCTGGCTGCCCGCGGGGCTGAGAACCTGTAAGGAACAGCAGCCCCGCGGAGGAGCTGGGCCGGGCCTCCGTCCGCGTGGAGCGAGGGCGCCCTCTGCTGGGGATCAGAAGCCGCTGCGGCTCTGACGTCAGCGCTGCCCGGCTCTGCTGAACTTCCCTGCAGAACCCGCTGGCATGAGCCCCTTTCTCAAAGCTGAGGGTGACTGCCCCTGGCGGGCTGCCCCGGAAGAGAGTCCTGGGGCACCCGTGCGAAACTAGAGAGAGCGCAGTGAGCTTGGACCAGGAGGGAGAGCGCCAACGGCTCCCTGTTGGGGGTAGTTTTGTCCGTTTGAATGATTAGAGTTGACATACGATGTTATAGTAGCTTCACATGGTGATGCAACATTTGCGCTCCCACGATATGATCACCACGGGAAGCCTAGTATGACCATCTCTCTCCGAGTGCTAGCCCCCCTCCTAGGCTCCGTCTCTTGTTGCTGTTAAGATTGACTGGCTTGCCCCAGCCTGTTTGGCTTCAGTGGATAGATCCTTGGCCTGCAGACTGCAGGGTCCCAGGTTCGATTCCAGTTAAGGGCAGGTACCTCGGTTGCAGGCTCCTCGCCGGCCTGGGCCTTGGTCAGGGCTCCTGTGATGTGTGTTTCTCTCTCACATCGATATTTCTCTCTGTCTTTCCCTCTCACTTCCACTCTCCCTTTAAAAAAAAATCAGTGTAAAGATATCCTCGTGTGAGGATTAGCAAACAAAGACTGTCTGGTTTGACCAAAATGAGCATCAGTTTCCTCCCCTGTGCCATGTTTTCACATGTGAAATCAAGTTAATGGCCGAGGCCGGTTTGGCTCAGTGGATAGAGCGTCAGCCTGGGGACTGAAAGGTCCCGGGTTCGATTTAAGTCAAAGGCATGTACCTGGGTTGCGGGCACATCCCCAGTAGGAGATGTGCAGGAGGCAGCTGATCGATGTTTCTCTCTCATCCCTGTGTCTAACTCTCTCTCTCCCTTCCTCTCTGTAAAAAATCAATAAAATATATTTTTTTAAAAAAGAAATCAAGTTAATGATAACAGTCTGGAGGAGACAAACAAGTATAACCTGCGTTTGAGGTTCAAAGCATCAGGAAAGAGCTGTCAAGGGGGCGGGGCAGGGGCGGCTAGCTCGTCGGCGGATGTAATATCCTGTCCAAACGTCTGGCACAGATACTGTGTTTAAAGGACAAACAGTGCCCTGGCCGGGTAGCTCAGTAGGTTAGAGCACGGTCCCCATACACCAAGGTGGTGGGTTCCATCCCTGGTCAGGGCTGGAACACACAACAAATTGCAGGCCCCCCCCCCCCACCCTCTCTAAAATCAGTAAATAAATTTTAAAAATTAAAATTTAAAAAAATAAATAACTGGAGAGTGATGAAGCTAAGGCTTTTGTCCTTTTCCTTGAGAGTTGTAAAAAAGAAAAACATTAGTTTTGTATTGGTTAGAAAAAAAACAAACTTAAAAGAAATATAGAAAGTGAGCATTTGTAGCATCCACAGGTCAACTTCTGAATTTCTAATATTTTCTGATAATCTATCCAACGAGGAATTGCCTGCTGGTGATAAGACTAAGTCAGGACCAGGTCAAGGCCAGGTTTAGGCAAACCTGGGAGCTGTCTCCACTGAGTTTCATCGTCCTGCCCACCCCACCCCCTCACTGTGCCCACTGTGGTTCCTCTGTGTCCCGGCAGGTGTTGGGGGTCCCAGGCCATGTCCGGCAGGCCAGGGACGCGACGTGTGCTGCAGGCCACACATCCCTGGGCAACACCTCAAGCCCAGAATAGTCCATGTCCAGAACCTGGCTCTCTCCTCACCTGGCCGGGCAATCTCATTCCTTCAGGCCCAGCTTTCTAACCCACGTTAATGCATCGGCTAAGGGAAAGGCTCAAAGCTATGCACTCAGTTGAACTTGGGCCGCCTCCTAAGCCGTTTCACCCACTGTCACCCCTAGGGCTGTCAGCCACCTACACTGCAAGCCTGCTTTAGAGACCTCCCCAGGCTTTCCTCTGCCTGCAGAGGGGGGCTCAGGCCAGCTGCAGATGGGAAAAGCCTTTGGAACTGTTAGTACCTGCCCGCGAGCAGGACCCACTCAGAACCCACTCATTCAGATCTTCCGCTTCTCAGGAAAAAATGAGAAATTCAGAAGTGGACGTGCTGATGCTACAAATCCTCACTTCCTAGATTTAAGTTTTTTTTTCCCTAACCAATACAAAACTAATGTTTTTCTTTTTACAACTAAAAAGGAAAAAGACGCCCTGACCGGTTTGGCTCAGTGGATAGAGCGTCGGCCTGCGGACTGAAGGGTCCCGGGGTCAATTCCGGTCAAGGGCATGTACCTTGATGCGGGCACATCCCCAGTAGGGAGTGTGCAGGAGGCAGCTGATCGATGTTTCTCTCTCATCGATGTTTCTAACTCTCTATCCCTCTCCCTTC